AGGGTTTAGGGCTTTGGGCGTAGGGCTTTGTGTCTGGGGGCTAGGGTTTGGGGGCCTTGCTTCCGAAACTCCAACTCCCCCAGGCATACTCGCGCGGAATCTAGTGAAACCCTGGAGCTCCTGCATCCCCAAAGCCCAAATATGGGAGTTTCCGAAAATANNCCCAAAATAAGGTACCCCTGATTTCCAGAAAGTCCCAAATAGCTGCTTCCGACAGGAGGAAGACCTCAGATATCACCGAAGAGCTTCTGGACACGCAGACGAAAGAGTACTACACCTGGGGCATCCCGGCGTCTGTTTCTTCAGAGGGTGTTGGGACCGTACAGTCTTTGGGGAGGCCTGCACAAAGAGCGGGCTATGCTTCTAGAACATGTTCAGGTGGTAGTTACCGTTATAGGAGCCTTATAGAAGGTCTATATACCTTATAGAAGCCTTGTAGAAGCCCTATATACCCTAAACTCCCCACCTGTAGTTTCCTTTAAATGCTTCGTTCTTCGGATATGGCTTGGTCGACAGGAAGCCCCAAGCCTACAGTACTGGAGCTTGTAAGTACTCTTAGTTGTTGGTCTTCCCGGGTTATGCTTCTGTTGGTCCGGGACCACTTACACATGTGCTTGTTGCGTACTTTCTAAAAGCATCAGAGGTATGAGTGGAATTCACAACAGTTCAACAGGAGTGTCCCTGCATAGAATCATAATTCAGACCACCCCTTGCTCACGGGAAGTCGCAAACCCTGTCATGGCCTCTATTGAAGAGTAATGTGCCCAGCGCAAAAGAGAGAACGGATCTTCCGCCGAAGAAGTATGCCTAACCGAGTTCGGAGCCTCACGTCTAAAGGCTTCAGGTTTTTCATAAGCTGAAACCCTAAACCCTAAACCCTAAACCCTAAGTACACAGAGACTAGAGCCCTCAAATCCATCCTAAGATCTTTAAGCCCTACATTCCGGAATCGCAAACACCTCTGCGCCCCACAAGAACACCCGCAACTCCCGAAAAACCTGTAAAGTCCTTCTGCACCCTGTTTCCCCAAACCCAAGGCCCCCAAACCTCTCCCCTCCTCCTCGTCCTGCTGTTGATGATATAAATCCTGCATTACCTTAAGGACCCTAAACTATGGGAACTATGGTATACTCCTCATTATGGGTAATGCAGGATTTATATCCTCAACCCTAAACCCTAAACCCTAAACCCTAAAGGGGAGTCCACCTGGGACCTGGTGATCTTCATCGGCACCGGGGCGCTGGGCCCCGCTGGCTCCTTCCAGACCTTCCTGCTGGCCGTGATCAACGCCCTTTGGGGCCCCAAAAGCGGAGGGTTTAGGGCCTTTAGAGGTTTAAGGTTTGGGGTTTAGGGTTTAGGGTTTAGGGCCTTTAGGGCCTTTAGGGCCTTTAGGGCCGTTAGGGCCTTTAGGGCCTTTAGGGCCTTTAGAGTTTAGGGCTATGGGGCTTTGGGCTTAGGGTTTCAGATGCGCGGGGGTTGTGGGAAAGCTGTTTGATCGGTTCTTTGAAGGTGTTTTTGGGTTCAGGGGTTTAGAGTTTGGGATTGGCGGTTTCAGGGCTGAAGATGGAGCGCCTGAGGATATGTCCTTCTGAGCTTGAAGTATAGTGGGGATCTATCTGTGGCCTCTTAGATAAACCCTAAACCCCAAAGCCTGATAAACCCTAAACCCCCCTAAACCACACAGCTGAGGTTCTAATGCAGGTGGTCTTCTGTGCCATCGCGCCTCTCGGACAAACAGGGGCTCAGGGGCTCCGAGTTTTCAGGTCCTTACCCCCTAAACTCTAAGCCCTAAACGGCCCTCAACCCGAAACCCTAAGAGCCCTCAACCCTAAACCCTAAACCCTAAACCCCTAAACCCCTAAACCCCAAACCCTAAACCCCTCAACCCTAAACCCTAAACCCTAAGAGCCCTAACCACCAAGGAAGCCCTAAGCTCCAGGAACCCCTCTGAGAACTCCGCAGTTGCTGGGGGGCGCTTAGCCTAATATAGGGGCCTTAATAGTTAGAATAGGGTTCCTTTAAAGGGTTCTAATAGGGTTATTATAAGGGTTCTATAGGGGTCTAGTTATATAGGGGTCTTAATACTTAGAATGGGGTTGGGGGTTCCTTATTATGATTAAAGTATAATAGACTAGGTGGTTCCATAAAAATAGGTGGGAGTATAAGATAATATCCCCCCAACCCCCTCTATTCCGGTTAGGAAGGTCCATTTTTTGAAGCCTTATTAACACCCGAGAGATCCTATATAAAACCCTATCCAGCCCTTGTGCTAATTACGAAGACGTTTTACAACCCTATTCAATCCCTATTAATGTTATACACCCTGCATACAAACTCCTTGAAACCTCCATTCTACGTTTTAGGTGCCCCCTGTATTTCCAGAGCCCCTTTCAGGAACCCCTAAAACCCTGTATAAACCCTGTGCACCCCCTACAAAGAAACACTTTCCAAAACCCTTATTCGAATTGTTAAGGCCCACAGCTCAGGTATTTTAGTTTTATCGAGCCCTAAACCCTAAACCCTAAACCCTAAACCCTAGCTCAGGTATTTTAACTTTATCGAGCCGGACATCGACTCAAGCGCGATTGAGGACTGCCAGGGGAAGGCTTTCCAGGGTTTGGGGTTAAGGGTTTAGGGTTTAGGGTTTAGGGTTTAGGGTGCTAGGGTTGAGGGTTTGGGGTTTAGGGTTTAGGGTTTGGGGTACTACCGTTTAATGGGGTGCTTGTTAGGGTTTGAGTCAGGAGCGTTTTAGAGGGTTTTGGGCATAAGCTGAACATTAAGCTTCACCACTGGCTTCTTCGACTCCCCAGAGACCACGGACCGCGTCAGAGGATGCGAAACGCTGGCGGCGCTCCTCTGGCCACGCCTTGTCCGAGTACGATGCTCGAAGGATTCAGAGATTCAGAGATTGGGAGTTTCCGAAAATAAGGGGTACCTTATTTGGGGGTCCCCATAATAAGGATCCTACTATTTAGGGTCCCCTATTTTCGGAAAGGGGTTTAGGGTAGTAACAAGCCCTCGGCCAGCATC